ATTTACCCCTAGATTTTAAGTGTTTCATAAACACTTCATTGAAACGGAGAGATGTAAATGATGATTCAAATGATAGTTTGCCTTCTGCATATTATAGTTTACGTTCTTTTGCCCAATTTGCAGTACTTAAAGTATCAACAAATATAATAAAGTACAATATAACAGTGATCAGCATGAAGTACATCAAATTACTATAGTTAAATCATGAACTGCCAGCTTGTTTTTGCAGTCACACAAAAGCAATGTCTTAATCTCTTCTGACAAATGGAGATTGTTACTTATGCAGATGGTGTGTATATGAAACATGAGTGCTTAAATTTTGCCAGCATCTTTTCCAAAAGAATGCTTAACAGAGCAATCCTAAAGTTCACATAATAAAAAATTATTTCTTTGCTGAGATCTAGGTGAGAAATCGTAACCACTGTCAATCAAGTTGTAATAAATTGTCTGTATGGTTGAGATTTATAGTAAGGCCTTTCAGGGAATCTGGGAGAGTTTCTGTTCACCAGGGAAATGGACTTCATCTTGTTTATATTTATTTTCTCCACTTCCTGCTCATGGGAAGACTTCACAATCCTCAGGTGTGCAGAGGTGCTCAGGTTTCTTATTCAGTCTCTGGGAATCATGGGATCAAGTCTGGGCTATCCTATTATCTACTGCTGAACTTGAACCATGTTACTCATCTACTTTTTAGTGTTTAACTTTAGGTGTCAATTTTTTAACTAGAAAGTCAGTGATACCCAGGTGACAAATGTATTACCAGCTTGATAATTCTGTTGATAAAATATTTTAAGATCTTTTGCTTAGTGTACCTTAAAAGCTCTTACTATATATTATGTAATTTTTCTATTGATGAAGACATTCAGAATTCATAGATATAAATTAATCTGTAAAACTAGGCTAATAAATTAAAGTTCTTATTGTAATGCATTCAGATTATATATTGAAAAAGGGGTAGATCAAAATATTTTGCCAGATTGCGTTAGTGAAGAGTATAACCTAAACAAATAGTGAAAGTAACTTTAGCTTTTCTGTTTCTTAAATTATTGGTGCACTTCAGAGTGCCCTGCAACAATCTAGCAATGAAAGAAAAATGGGAGACAATACCTTGCATTCTGTATTACACTTCTTGGTGAATAAAACTGGTGTAGTTTCATCTAGTTCAGTACTAAAAAGTTTAAGTTACAAACTTTCTGAGAGACTGTAAAGGTTTAGTTTACTGCCATAAGCTCAGTATGTGCATTTTAGAACTTCAGGTTCCCTTAGATTTAAGCTTTAGGTTTAGACCATGTGTTCTTTTGAATGGAAAAAAATTCCTATCTTAAAGAGAGATCTATGACTCTTATTTTACATAAATCAAACAAAATTGTCCTTTACTTCTTTTATGATCAGGTGCAGTTGACAATGTACATGACAAGGGAGAGAAAGGGAATAAAATATTACCAGCTCCTTTGAGAAAGAGGTGAGGTTGCTCCCATTCCTCCAACACTTAACCAAGATAAAGAAGGGAGGAGAGGAAGGAAATAAAAAGTTCTTAAGTGTCATCTAAATTGCAAGACTAGAAGGGGAAAGTAGCATGAGCTCTTAAAATTGTCTGGGTGGTCTGGAGAGAAAACATAAGCTTGAGTAAGCAGTTAGAAGTAGGAGTTAGGAAAAGTATTAGAGAATAGTGGAGCTAAAAGGCAGCTGTGAAATTCTGTAACATAAGTAGTGGTGAGACCTTTATATTGAGAGTCAAGGCACTTGGTTTAATGTCCTTGGAAATATAAATAGACTTTGTCATGGAGTTAGAGAGCAAGGGGAGTTCACAAAGCCAAAATGTACCAATTTGGTTTTACAGTCCTAGGTTTTCAGGGGCTAGGAAGAAGAAAATGGATAGAAATTCACTAGAAACTTCATGTGTCCACATGAAGACTGAAGACTCTAGGTGTAGCCCAGGCCTCTCGGGAACTGGCAGCTCTCTGGAACAGCAGTTCTGACTGTCTGATGGGATAACTGGCAGCATTTCTTGGGCAGGTAGCTCTGCAGCATGTGCTCGCTTAGTCTGACACCCCGGGAGGCAGTGCACCTTCTGTACATGTACTGCAGGCAATAGAATACTCTGCAGTGCATGGTCAACATGTCCACCTGCTTTTGGAAGCATTAGTCCTGCTATGAATTTGATGGGTGTAACTGTGCAGAGATACATCAACAAGAATTACAGGCATGCTGTTGTGAAGTGGTGGGTACTGTTGGTGCCTGCAGGCCTGCACTGAGCACCCACGTGGTGAAAGCAGGACACTCGGTCCCCCTCTCTGGGTACACTCTGCATAGGCAGGGAGAGCATCCTCAGCATTCCTGACCACTGCCCTGGAACCAGCACAGGATGTTTTGTTCTTTGTCCTGCTCCAGCTGTGATGATCAAGTATAGGGATGCATGGCAGGTTCCCCCATACAGCAGCAGGCTCATGATCACGACATTGCATCGTCCTCTTCCCTGGTCCCCTGTCCTCTGCTGTGTTTCTGGGTGAAGAAAATTTGCTGGTGTGTTGTATGGTGGTGGGTTTGATACAGATTTAGTTCCCTTTTGGGAGTTATGTGTTATGAATAAACAAATAACCTTGATGGGACTCCCTGCTTTTGCTGATAGAGCTAGATGCTGAGGGTAAATGGGGCAGAGCAGCTGAGGGAAAAGCTTTAGAAAGCCAAATAGCTGGCAATTACTGAGATGACTGAGGAATAGAAAGCAGTAAGTAAAGACGAGTAGATGAAATTAGTTCTTGCTGAAGAGGTAATAATCTTTTCTGAGGGTACAGTGTTTTATCTGTGGGTTTTTTTGCTTGGTTTGGTGATAATTCACACACTGTTTGAGAGCTGGATGCTGATGTAAAGGTGGAGCCTTTGTAGCTAAGGCATGTAGAAGTATTTTATATTTGGTAATTGTTGCGAGACCTGATGAACAAAAAGAAAGGGAAGAGCTGAACTAGGTAAAAGTAATTAAACCTAAAGTTTAATTAACTAATGTGGCTTATTAAGTGGACTGACAATTGGACAAAAGTTGCTGTAGCTGGCGTGCTTTGAAGGAACAGTAAATAAAGAGAAGGAAGGGTGGTGTACTGGTACTGGGCAGCAGAAACAGGCTGGCAATTGGTGTTTGCATGGCAGCAGAACAGAGGGAGCAATTTGCCTTAGTTTTTAGTTAAGTAATGCTATAAAGTACAGTTAGAACACAGTTAAATGAGGCTAAAAATCAAAATTTTCTATGAGAATGTTTGAAAATAAATGTTAATATGATTTAAAAATCTTAGAATCTGTTCTAAAATAATAGGAAAATAGTACATATGCTACTAATCAGAGAAATGTGATCCATATTGCTACAGGCCTGTTTAACTGCCAAAATATAAAAGCCTTTATAACCAGCTTTGAAATAAGAATATGTGGGAACTTGAACATAAATAGAAAAGGACATGAAATGTGATGTATGTGTTTACTAACAGTACATTGTGTCAGGCTGACATGCTGTTTTTATTAGTCGTCTGTATCACTTGATACAATTCTAGGATGTAAATAATTACCTGAGAAGACACAAATTAGTAGAAAAATGTGGAACTGGTGGAAGACAGACCACGCCTACAAGGTCACAGTGGTAGGAGGGGAGGTGAAGGACAAACACTGCAAAAAGGGAAAGTCTAATTAGATATTATTAAGCGTTTTTTTGGTTTTGTTTGGGGTTTTTTTGTTTGTTTGTTTTTTGGGTTTTTTTCCTCCAAAGTGAGCAGTGTCAAACACTGGTTCAAGTTGTCTGGAGATAAAATTCCACCCTTGAAGAAGGTCAGAATTCTGCTGGAGATGAGCCTGAGTCGTCAGATCTAATGTCCATGCTGATCCTGCTCTGAGTGAGAGATGGGATCAAATGATGTCCAGAGATCCCTTTTAAATTCAATTATTCTATAATTCTTTGAAATATTCTTTTCCAAGGCAAAATTTATGCATGAAAGGGTGCTATCAGTGTATTATTGGTAGCATGGATTTTTTGGACTCTTCAAAGTGTTTTCATTTATTCTAGCAGTAGAATTCTGAGAAAATTTGGGAAATGCTGCCTAGTGTAGGAAGATTAGTGTATAGATCAGAAACAATTTAGACTGTAGTTATAGCAGTGAAACTATTTTGTGCATTGCTACATAAAAAGATGGGAACAATAAGAATATTTAAGGGATGGAACAGATTAAATGAGGATGTATTGGCTTATTTTCACCCAACTAGTGTGCCAGTGCTGATGCAGTCATGGGAATGGTAGATATGGTTCTAAGATGACAGACAGGCACTTCCAGTGGCCATTATCAGGAAATAAGAGTTCAAACCTAAATAAATTAATCAGGCATTGAGGGATTGGAGAGCTTTTCTTGAAAGGACTTGACTTAGTTTAGGAAGATTAGACTGAAAACCAAAATGTTTAACAATTTGAAATACATCAAAGTACATCAGAGCTTCGTGATGGAAGAAAGCCTGTTTTAAGATACAGGATAAGATATTGGGCTCAAATCTGCTAGGTATAAGATTAGTAAACATTGAATAAAGTTACAAACCACCACATTCAACATTCAACTTCTGAAATAGCTTTCCAGAAGAAGCAATAGGGCCTTGACTGATGCTTCATCTGCTGTTAAAATAAATTATTTGATATGGCTGTGAGGACAGCAAAGGACAAGAGCTGATGACTTTGAAGCATAAGACTGGAAAGGACATAGTCTTTCTAAAAATATAAACAGAGCAGTTTGTTGAAAAGCTACAGTAAATCACTCTGATTCTTAAATGCTATTAGTATTAAAGGGTTGTTATTTCTCCAAAGGATCTAGGACATCTTGAGCCACTGAAAATGCAAGAGATATTTATTATCAAGGAGACTTAGACTCAAGAGCTGCCTGCCCCAGCATCCATACAGCTGTCATGTCCCTCCACTGCGAGGAGCTGCATGGTAAATGGTTCTGTTCTGCCTTGGCCCAGGGGTAAGGTCCCTTCAGATGAAGAATTGCTCTGCTTGCTGGTGTTGACAGAAGGCCGATTGTGCACAGGAATCCCTTTGTCTGAAGGACAGACTGAATCTGAACCAGACCTGTTTTAATAGTTGGCTCAGCCTTGTCCATTTAAAGCCATTACAAGGGTCCTGTCCTGCCAGGGAGATAGTGAGACCTGCTGAGTGCATCTAAGGAAAGCAAAGGCGTTTCTGAATACAACAAAAAAATAATCTGCATTTTGATTGTTTTCATTTAGTCTAAGGTCTGGGCACTTGTCAGAGATTATTCTAAATATATAGTGCATTGAAAGTTTCCTAAATTTCACTGCTCTGCAGTGCTCATATTCTTATAAACATCTCTTGTTTGCAAAGATTGCCTTGATATTTCCTGAAGGAAAATTTCACTTTTCTGTCTGACCACACAACATTTTTTTTTTTAAATATAAAATAAACTGAATTACCACCACGACTGACTGAAATATGTAACTGTACTGTTTTCGAAGCAGCAGAAATCAAAAATCCTGCTTTTTGAAATGATTTCACTAGAAGTCCTTAAATAAGAATTTGCAATGGCTCTGCTTAAGAGCTTGTAGACACTGTTATGAAATACTGTAATTTATTTCATATAAATATGTGTTATTTGTATGTGGTAGTACTGAAGCCACCTTTAAACAGACAAACATAAAATACAAGTATGTACAAAGTGTAAACCTGATATGTTTGCTGTGTTGTCTGAATGAAACAGTGCAAGACGAGATTTTGGTGAGGGGTGCAGTGATGTTTTCAAGAGGATTATATTGTATTTCTTTTTATTTCAGAATAAATTATAAATGTCACAGTTCTTCACAGCTGAAAACACTGAATTAATTAGTGTGTCACCTGAGAGCTTTCGCCCTTTCTGGGAAGGAATGAAGTGATTTGAAAGAGCACTGGAAAAGGCCCTCATCCTACTTGACCTTTCCAGAGATGTGGCAGACAGATCGATAGGGAAGTGACTGCAGTGAGCTGGCACCTTGCAGAGAGGGTGTACTTCAGAAGTGCCAAAACAGGTTATAAAAACATGGAGGTTGACTGTTCTGTTTTGTGAAGAGGCTTCTCTTTCTTTTGGTTAAGGCTGAGGTAGCATCCAACCATTTTGTCTGTACCCTGGCTTTATTTTATTTTGATTGTTTGCATCTTCATCTAAATCAAACCTTTCCTCCTTCTAAAAGATTGGTGGTGGGAATTTGTGATAGCTAGCTGGGAGGCTGAATGACCCGAGAAACTGGAAAATGTCTCTCTGAGGTAGCAGTTCTAAAGATAAATTGAACTTTCTATTATTGTTTTCCTCATATATATATAAATTTTTTGCTCAAAATCAAAGCTAAATGGCACCACTGTAGAAAGTCCAAATGTGCCTCTCTGGTGTTGGTAAGAACTGGTGATAACTACAAGCACATACACACACTGCTGCAAGGCTCATGCTCCCCATGGGGTATTGATGCAGAGGTTTGATCCTGTGATCCTTGGCCAGCTGTTTCCTTGAGGGGAAATCATTATGGTTCAAAGTGTGCATGCTAGATTTTTGGACTGAGGGTGCATTCCACCACATCACTCTTCTCTCCCAGATATTTGTCTTTCAGTGTTGAAGCCCACTTGTGAGGAGTGATGCAAAATAGCAAATATCATGTGAGTTGAGAGTGTGCCACCTGAGATGCTGCTTCTGAATCCTCTTTGATGATCTGTCATGTAGTGAGGGTTTTAAAATATTTAGTTAACAGTATTAGGGAATCTGCCCTGTCTTCTTCACTTGTTTCCTAACAAGCACATTTATGCATTTAATGTTTGGCTTTAATCTTCTTCTTGTATCAGTAGGTTCAGAACAGCTGACTGACCAGGGGGTAAGAGAAGCATCAAGAGATGTAAAGCAAAACTAAGTGATTATGTTGATGATAGTAGACAAATCAGGTGTATTTCTCCTAATCACTCCAAAAGGAGATAAGAATACCAGAAATGAGTTAATAAGGAACCTTTGAAATGCCAGCACCTTTCTAAAATTCAGTCTTCCAGCAGCTCAGAACTGTGTGTCTGCTACACTGCTCTGTATTGATGTGTGTATGACTGGCAGAGAAATGAGTGAACAGGAATCATAAATTGTGCCCATACCAGCAGCAGCAAAATAGCTGACAGAAGGTTCTTGGCCAGGCACAAGAAGTAGGGCACAGTGATTGAGGATGATTAAGATTAGATTTATAGATAATACAGTATTCAAATATTGCTGATGTATCTCAGTAACAGCTCTGTTGTCTCTTACATGGATTTTAATATAATCCATTCGTGGTCCTTCCTGTTGAGTCATGAGCTTCTGTGAGATACCCTCACTTCCTCAGCTTTTCAGAGAAGTGTAAGTGTGGTTCAGTCCACTTAGTCAGAGATTTGTTCAACAGTCTGTGACTAAAGAGCTATAATATAAAAAGGTTGAGCTAGAAATGTATAGATTTACAGGTTTTGGCTGTAATCTTTTGCTGTAGATGTGGCTGGTCTGAAACAGCTAATATCATAGAGAATAGGCTCTGGCATTATATATCTTTATGTGTAGGAGTAGCCATGATCTCTTGTAGAAAACAGGAGACAAGCTGAATCTGATTGAAATAACAAACTCAGCCGCTGTCTAGTGTGTGGTGTGTGTAGTGATGAGGTCACTCACTTGGCAAGGTGATGCTGTAAGCTCTGGTCTTTGCTTTGAGGATTTTCTGTATTGAAATTAAACAATTAATGGAGAAGGTGAAGAGAATTAATCCTTTCCACCAATAGACTGGAACTGTAACTTACAGTCAATGTAGAGTTGCAGCCTTTTATGCTCTCCTTCTGGCTCATTTAATCTTGATTTCCACTTATTTTACGCTGAGTGACTTGACCAGGAATAATGGACTGAGTCTTTACTTACAGACATCCTTCTACACTGATGACTAGGGCATTTGTGTGAAACAAGGATTTATAATTTATTCATATTGTGCATCTAACTCTGACAAATTGTCTAAAGGGGTAAAACGAAGGATGAGGCTGAAATTACTGGATTTTTAGGCCATGATTGCATTGGTCAGTTTAAAAGTTCAGTATTCTGTGATTCAATGTAGGACAGAAAGCTGGATACAGGAGGCCTACAGAAAGACCCATGAGTTATTTGTATAAGCCAGCATACTGTGAATCCCACTGGTTATGGCAAATCCCACGTCTGGTGTGGCACTGGCAGAAGTTTTCAGTCTTATCTATTGAGAAATGATGATTAATGGGTACTGCCTTTCCAGGCATGAAACACTCCAAGATAAAGAGTTCTCACACTCAGAATAATATGGGTACCAAGGGAGAAGGTTTCCCTGCATGTTCCATCTGTGTACCCTCCCTGAGCATTCCATGTACAAAGCTGTGACACTGTGTTGCTGTGATTTTTCATCCGTCCTGTCTTCTAAATAATCACTCTAACTTTGAAACCTGCTGAAGGAGGTTTTATGGGTGCTGCTGCTGCCTTGGAACTTGTCCAACTTATTCAGTGTTGCGCTTTGTTTTGTGCTCTTGCCCTCTTCTGGGTGTGGGGGGGCAGTGCTGAATGCCTTTAATCTTGAATTCCTCCTTTAAAAAATAAAAAGAAAGACGAAAACATTTCTTAGAATTTGTGCCTTTCTTATCAGTCTTTCTCTTAGAATAGAACATGTCTATTTCCGGAGACACTGTTTGTTTTCTTTTGCATTGAAACAGAATCTTTCAGTTTTAATTTTCAACTTGTTCCTGCTGTTCTCTCACTGACAGAGATAATCTTCAGTGATCTGTGGAAATTCTGCAGAAACCAGAGAGGCTATTAATGCCCCTAAAGTCCAAGTTATTGCCTGAAAGGGATCTTGGCAGAGAAGAGCACTTGGTCTTCAGTGTGAAGACTATTAACTTACTGCATAGAAATTGCAAAAGTACCTGAAAATTCTTGCTTTGGAGACTCTTTCCCTACCTAATCAGGCAAAATGAGAAATAAATGTAGAACAGCTCTTGAAGTTCTGTTTAAAAGATAGAGTGAAGAAGCCATGATACTTTCTGACCTGCTGGAGAGGAAAATATTTTATTTTCATTTTTCTGTTAGAACTTGACACATGGTCCAGTAAAATGTTGATAACTCCTCCAGGGTGAAATGTAACCTACCTAAAAGTCTAACACTGCTGCATGGGTACTGTGCAGGTCAATCACTGTGCCTCACATGGATTAATTTTTAACAGGATCTTCTGTGTGTGGTGTTCCAGCTTAGTTTGCTAACTCACCTGGTTTCAATTTTTCTCCAGGAGTAAAAAAAAACCCTCTTGGTAAACTATCAGACTGTTGTTGGTATGCTAATAAGACTGGCTGAAATAATTCAACATGTCCAACATGCTGTTGCATTGGTGACCTTCTGGCAAAAAAAGAGAAGGGAATATTCAACTTTGACCTAGGCTCCTAGGTCATTGCATGGTGCTTAAGAAAGGGATTGTTGGGCACCAGTGGGAGAAGCAAGGTATCTAGAAATGCAAAAAAAAAAAAAAAAAATTTGGTTCCTAACTAAGGCAAATAGGTGCCTAATTCCTCATGTAACTCACAGTTGTACACTTTCTTGGAAAGAAGGCTGGCTTGTCTCTCTCAGAGTGTGACAGAAGAAAACTGGATTCTTTGCAATGAATTGGTCCATGGTCAAGCCTTTACTCAGTGGTATAGGAAACCTGCCAGAGGAATTTTCTAAATACTATCTAAATACTATGAAATCTCACACCAGATGACTGCTCTGTCTTCAGGATTTATGGATTTGTGTAAATAAAGTGACCCTCTTTCTTCCCTTCCTGCTCCCGTTTTTGTTTTTTTTTTAAGTTACATGTTTTGGGTTTGGCTTTTTTTTGCCTTGTCAGACATGTCAGAAATGCTGGACAATAGAAACAAATATATGGCTCAGTCCATATAAATTAGAAAATGAGACTGAAGTTTGTATCTCCACTGAAGAGAGAAACTCTGATCTCAGACTTTTAGATT